AGCAGGAAACTCTCACCCACCCACTCTCATGCCTTGGCTTTGGCACTGACTGCTGTGTTGTCTTGAGAACACAGCGTGTCACCTTTCTCTCTGAGCCTCACTTTCCCCTTCTATAAGATGGAGCTGGAACAGTGTCCACTTCACTGGGGCTAAGGGGCTTAAGACCTGGTGGGCAAGTGCTCTTTCATCGCTTGGCTAGTCTGAAAATAGTCCCTGATGTGATAGAGGAGCCCCACTGCATGGTCTGCGGAGCCTTCATGTTGTGTAAGCTCCTCAATCCTCAATGTGGTTTCACAGTGGCCTTTCAACATGACCCTTTCAAGCTTCCCTGTATGTGAGAAAACAGACTGGCTGACGGTCCAATGTTGCAGGAGAGGGTTGAGAGAGCTACAGGATCCAAGCAAGTGTTAGTGTGAATCAATGTACCAGGCACCATGTTAGGTGCCAGTGAGTTTGACATTACTCATATCATTACTAAAATCGTAGTTAAACAGGGGCAACTAAGTCAAAGACAAGCAGATAAAACAGTTGAAGATGGGATAAAAGAAGGAAATAATTGGTGTATGAGCAAGGGATGATGGGGGAGGGTGCCTGGGTAGGGTGGGTCATAGGAGGGTTTTCAGAATCAAGGAGGCTAGGGACCAGCAGTTAGCGTAATGGCTATGTCGCTGGACTCCCACGTGGTCGACCGCCATTCATGTCCTGGACCCAGTGGCTTAAAACCCACGTTGGACATGTGTGCGTGCGTGCCCAAGATCCCAAGAGGAGAATGGAGGAGAAGGGATTGCGGTGTGGTCATCCCCCCTAGGGGGTGGTTTCTCGCTTTCTGTCTGTCTGGTGAGTGCACGCACCCTATGGCAAAAACCTCTCAAAAAAAAAAATAAAATAAATAAATAAATAAAGGCTGGTCAGCCCCATGAGGGTAGGAAGCAAACAGCAGTGCAAAGGCAATTTGGTGAATATGGGCTTGGCACAAGGTAGGCAGAGCTGGTGATGGCACACTGGGCTGCCCTGGCCCCTGCCCTGTCCTGCACTGTCCTGGGTGGGTCACTTGCTCCACAGCTGACTGCTGTCCTTTTCTGTGCGTGGGAGGCTACAGCCAGACCGGGGGGATCTGCAGTGACCAAGAGGCCAGCATGTTTGTGAGTCAGACCAGGGTCTGAATCCACTTTCAACACTTGCCAACCGTGTGGCCCTGCGCTAGTGTCTTAACCTCTCTTGGCCTCCAGTCTCTGGATGGGGTAAGAGTTGTGTCATCTTCCCCCTGGTGATGCTGGGGGGCTGTAACCCACTCCCAGGGTGCCTGGCCTTCAGTAAGCATTCTTGCAGACATAGCATATGCTGTTCTTAGGCTTTCCTGAGTTACCTGTGTCTATCTCCCAAATTCTGTCCTGCCCTGTCCCCTACCCATCTGAGACAAAGTCATGGAGCCCTCAAAATAGACAGAGTGCACACGCAGGAGTCAAGAGGGCCTAGCCCCAGGATGGCAGGGCAGCTGACATAGTTATTCCATGTCACATGTCACCTTTAGTGGCATGAGGAGAGGAACAAAATGCTCTCTATCCAGAATTCACTATCCGCCCCAGAAATGTGAAGCTCAGTGGCCACAGCATAGTCTTTCCTTTGTGTGTTCACTATAGCCCTTGCGAGTGGCTGCTATGATTCCTCACTAGTAGAGCCTCATCTGTGAGGGGTATGACCACTGTGTCCCAGGTCCCCGGCCTAGTAAGTTGCAGAGCTAGACTGTGAACCAGGTGCTTCTAACTCCAGTAGGGCTTTGAACTCAGGTCTGGGCCTGTTGCTAAAGCCACTTACATTGTGCCACCAATGAGCCATGTGAGGGTCTTAGCAGAATTAAAGATGACCAAGAGTATAATTAAACTGAGCCATCTAGAGATGGCTTGTGCACCTCAGCAGGGCTGTGCACAGGACTGTTTTTCCATACCTTGTAAAGGGCTAAACAGCAAATGCCAGAAGAAGATTTGCAGAGATTTACCAGGGATTGAAGGGGTTCAAGCCAGGCTCCCAGAGCTGCAGCCAGGGGCCACATGGCCTGCTGGTTAGCACTTTTCTGCCTGCCTTAGGGATGGTGCTCTTATTCAGGGAAGGCTCTGCACAGGCAGGGCAGATTTTCTTGCCTCTACCCTCGGGGGAAAAGGCTTCTGGTTGGCTTGTGGTCTGAAAGCTTTGGGCTTAAAAAACAGACACTTAACATCCTGCAAACGCATCTCTACTTGCAGATCATGAAGGAAGTCCGGCGAGCGCTCTGCAACGCAGCCACAGATGACAGCAAACTGCTGCTCCTCAGCGCAGTGGGGAGTGTGTTCTGCAGCGGCCTAGATTACTCCTACCTAATTGGCCGGTTGTCCAGCGACCGAAGAAAGGAGAGCACTCGGATTGCTGAAGCCATCAGGTGAGCTTGGCTCCTGTCCAGACACTTTGGGATCCTACCTAGGATCATCGAATTTAGCAAATAGAACAGGCAGTCTAGTTAAATTTGAATTTCAAGAATTTTATTTTTAGCACAAATATATCCCATTTGATAATTGGGGTATACTTATACTAAAAAGTTATTTCTTATCTATCTAAATTTCAAATTCTAACTGGGCATCCTGTATTTGATCAGCAACCACAGTCTTGACCACATTAAGGATGCTTTGCTTTCTAGGTTAGATCCCACTTTCATTCTTTTAATCAAAATGATATTTTATTTTCTATCAAGGCCTGCTTCTGGTAATGCCTATATTGTCTACACTGCTCCTGCCTTCTGCCTGATGGTGGGATTCTCTGGCCGTCTGGACATTCATGTGTCCTGGGAATGGAAGGGCTCCCTGGGCAGTTGTGTCTTTGCAGATCCAATAGGTTGGCATGCGTTTCTTCCTCTCTTACTGCCTTTAGGGCAGAAGTTGGGATCCTGGCAGAAGTTGTGACCTTTAGCTCCAACAATGAGTATCCCTTTTGGGACACTAAAAGCTAGTTATTCCTCCATTCTTAGTAGATACATCAGAAGCAAATGAGCATGATTTCTAGCCAGGGCTATTTGCCAGCTTCCAGCACTCTCTGGATGTCCTCCACCCCCAGAAGGGCAAACATGCTCACTGTGGCACCTTGTTGAGAAACAGACAAGGACCATAGAGTCAGTAATGTCCCGAGTCTCATGAGAAGATACGCTTCTTCCACATGGTGTTGGGGAGCCTCAGGCTGCATCCAGGGATTTTCCAGGGCATCTGTCTCAGTGCCTGGAGAGGATGCAGAATCTCCAAGAGGGGTGCCAGAATGTTCTTGTGTGTGGCACCCCAAGTCCCTCTTTAGGGTCCAGCATCCTCTGGAATCTCTACTTCGAAACACCCCGGTGCTTCCTGTGGCTGAATTCCAGCCAGAGAGACATGAAAGCCTGATCACTACGCTTAAAAGGCACCCCAGTTTCAGCTGCTCACAGGCCCCCGGTACACCAGCCCTCACCATGTCCATGGTGGTTAGTTCCATGCTTGGTCTCAGCCGTGTCTTCCCAGAGCTGCCTTTTCACTTGCTAAGAAGAGCTGCCGGGTCCCCAGGATGCTTTCCTCCTCACTTCTAGGGCCACCAGAATTGGCTCCAGAGAACAATGCCCATCTCTGTGTCCTGCATATAGTCCTGATCATGGTCATTATTCACTGGTTTGGAGGCATTCACTGGACTTCATGTGCCCAGGAAACCTGTTTGACATAGTCCTCGTTCCCACTTCTGCTCACACAGCTGTCATGCAGGCCTCTGGCAGTGGGTTGGACTGTGGCCCCAGACAGGATGAGTCCATGTCCCAATCCCTGGAACCCAGGGCCATGATCTTATTTGGAAAAGTTTTTGCAGATTAACTTCTGAATCCTGGGATGAGCTCATCAGGATTCGAGGGGCTCCACATCCAAAGAGAATAACCCTCAGAAGAGAAGAGGAGTAGATGCCAGTGGAGGAGGAGTGATATGACAGAAAAGACAGAGATGGGGGATGCAGCGGCAAGCCCAGGACACCAAAGGTGGCTGCAGCTGCCAAAGGGAGCAGGACCTGAAGATACTTCCCCAGAGCCTCTAGGGGAACCAGCCCTGCCAATACCTTGACCCTCTCAGTGCTTCAAAATGAGTGGAAACTGCTCATTTATGAACTAATAGAGAGACAGGGAGTGGAAAGGGGTGTCCCCTACATAGCACAGAGACACCGGAAGCACTTCCAAAGCCCAGGTGCTGGCAGCAGCCCCAGGAGAATCTGAGCTGATCAGCCTGGGAGTAGGTCAGCACGTCTGTGTCTCAGCTCCCTGGGTGGCTCTCAGATGCCCTGGGGTTGAGGATGCCTTTCCTGTGCTAACCAGATGGTATTTGTACCACTGACTGAAAACACTGAAAGAGGATCCAGAATATCCTTGTTTTTATGTAAGAGGAAAGTGGTTACAGAAGAGAAGAGGGTAAAGAAGGAGGTGTGGCGTAAGGCCTGAGAAAAGTCAGAATGTGGAAGGAGGACAGATGAAGGCTCAGACAGTGGGGCTGCACAGAGGTGGTACCCACAGGGTCAGGAAGAGGTGGTGGTTTTTCCATTAGCATCTAGCTTCAGAAGTAGTTTCTGGCCCGACCAACTTCAGAGGCCATGTTCTAGAGTTAGGGAGGCAATGTGGCATGACACATTTTGTAGAGAATGTTTTATGGATTTCCCAAGCAAGGCCGTGAATGAGGGCACTATTGCTGAAAAGAGTTTGTTTCTTGCTATAAGTTCTATCCCTGCTCCTGCAGGATGTATTTTCATGTTTATGGTCTGATATTCTGCTATGAAGGAACTTCGTTCAAGATTTAGCGGGGCTGAGACATCTTTTGGGCAAAGAACTAACTATCCCCCATTTCCTAATAACCCACTGACATCCCTTGCAGTTTTCTGGAGGTGCACTCTCAGCAGGGCTGACCACTGGAGTCTGGGCTTGCTGTGTGGCTCCTATACCTCCTGAGCAGTGTTCCCACCTCCCCACCCTTGCCCACAGTAAACAAAAACAGACACACACATGACCGGGGCACTGTGTTCACTCTGCAGATGTTCGATGAATGAACTAGCAGGTGTTTCATTCAACAGAGGCCTCCACCTGGGACCCATCCTGAAAGAGAGGCCACCTTCACCTGAACTTGTCACAAGTGGTGCTGGTTTGAGTGTGGTATTCGGGAAGGCACCCCAGGGATGTGACTGCCTGTGTGGCACCTGCATGCTCAAATCCACCCCTGCCTCTTGCTAGGGGAACAGCTTTAGGCATATCAGTGATTTCCCTAAGCCTGTTAGGGTCATCTGGAAGAATGGGATCAATCAAAATGATGGTACTCGCCTCACTGCTAGGTTGCTAGGATGCAGAGATGCCCTGTGTGAAATTTTTGGACTGTCCCTGGTGTATCATACACACTTAGAATATCAATAATAACTGTTCATGTTGTTATACTACTGCTACTCCTAGCCACAAGTTCCAGCAAGCTGAGTCTGAAGACAGAGTGGGCTCCTTGAGACATCTCTGGGGGCCCAGAATCACAGTTACCAGGTGTGTCTGGGGTTCAGAGGTGTCATACTGACTGAGTAGGCTCTGACTTTTGGCACTGGGAGGGCTCCACAGCTTTGGATACAGGGAATGGACCATTGGGTCACAGAAGAAATACCAGTTACTCCAGGTGAAATCCTTGAGCAGTTTTTTTTTTTCTGAGTCTCCTTGGGGTCAAGACACTGGATCACAGGCAGCCGTGAGGATTGAATGAAGGCTGTGTCCACCCTTCTCAGCAGATGTCCTACCATGATAATGGCATAGGGACCGAGTGCTCCCTGCATGTCAGGTGCCGTGCCTTGGGGGAAACCATCTCATTTAAGCCTCACTTGGCCCTGTAAGGAGAAGTAGTTGGCTTCCTCATTTTATAGGGAATGAAACGAGACTCCAGAGACTCACCTGTCTCTTACCTCTAGTGATAGGCAGAGTTGAAACAAGCCGTTCAGCTTCCAGAGTTCTGCCCGTTCTGTCACATCAGAGCATCTCAGAGCATGGTCAGTGGTTGGGCAGAGGAAGCTGCAAGGGCTGAGTCTAGCTGGATGGTTTTGGACGCTGGGGAGGAGAGCAAACAATCTTCTGAGCGTGGCCTGACCATCGCAGTGAGGATCAGATATCTGAGCCGCGGGATCTGAAATGCAATATCCTGTTTGCTGTTTGGCTCCTCCATCCACCAAGCCCTTGTGATAGAGATCTGCCGCCTCAGGTGAGAGAAAATGGGGGGGGGGGTTTCACATAACATTTTTAGATCAAGGAAATGAAATGAGAGGCAGGTTGGAATGAAATAGGAGGGGTTGGGACTGGAGAGTCAGGGCTTTGCAAGCTTGGCCTTTTCTTTCTTTCTAAGAGTTCCTGTTGCCCTTGTACAGAGCTCAGGTTGAAAACCACAGAGTGGAAGGCTCTGGGATCTAGAAGGGGAAGACTCTAGAAATTGTGAGGGTGTCCTGTGAATGACAGAGCTGAGGTATTGGGAATATGAGAGAGGCCTGCATAATGTCTGCAGCAGGAAAGCTATCTTAGTAGGCACGGGCCTTCTTTTATTGAAAACATCCAACACCAGTGGGTCGATGGATCCTCAGAATGTTATAGAGGGAATTTTGTACTGAGTAGAAGATTTGGCTCAGTGAGTCTTACAATCCTTCCCAACTCTAGGATCCAAGATTCTAGAATTACATGAGTACTCAGGAATGGGGTGTCTAATGAAAATCACCTAAATTCTGGAGTTCCAAGGATCCTGCAAAGAAGCTCCTTATCTCCTAAAAACTCCAAGTTGTATTGGATAAAAAGCACTTTCAAATACCAGTGACCTTCGTTATCTATTTAACAGGGACATACAGTGTTGCTTTCATAGTCTGGCTTGCTTCACTTAGCATTAAATCTTCCATATTTACCCACTTTCTGTCAAATATTGAATGTCTACACTCTATGACAGAAACAAAAAGGCTGGAAGGTATAAAGGCATGGATAACAACTACAGATAGCAGAGATAGTTCAGGAAAAGGATGGACAGTGGGGGTAGGATGGGAGTGAGGGAATCAAGGGGAAATAAAAGCAAAATCACTTAGTGAACACAAAAATAGAAATTTACCTGATGAAGATAATGTATATGGTAATATCTTTGAACTAATATACAATGTATTTATGCTTGGAAAATCCATTTTGTATGCTGTAAAGAAATACAGAGATTGCATGTTAAAAAATTAGAAAATTAAAACAAAACAAAACTAGTGATCTAACCTAAAACTTAACTGTGAGGTTGGGAAGTGAAGCCAGATGGGCCATTGGAAAACCAGGCATCAGAAAGTCATGAGGCCAGGACTTCCTCTTTGAAGTAGTGTGTCTTTTTGGTCAGCCGTAGTGAGGCCAGCAGTGACTGAGGTAACTCCATCATCTCAGACAATGAGATGCCTCAAGCCTGGGTCAAAAGTACAGAGTTTTATGGTGACTTGTGTGGATCATATGATACCTCTTCCTCAGCAGAATTACCCCAGCAGAATATTAAGCAGTCAACTTCTCAGAGCTGACATACCACCATGATACCCACACATATCGATAAGAATAAGAGAGAAGACAACATCACTTGAAAGGAATAAATCAACTTGACATTGGTATTAATTATTAGCTGCTATAAAACATCCATTAGAAATATATATAACAACTCAGTTGCAATAAGCAATTAATTTCTCATATATGTAAATCTAAAACAAATATCCCTGATCCACTTGTATCTATCTTGGTGACTCAGGAACCTAGACTCTTTTCTCTTGTGGCTCCACAAACATCTTCCAAGACTGCCATATTCATCAAGATGAACAGGCTGTAGGACTGTACAGTGGGAGGTTTTTTTGTGTGTGCGTGGAAGTGGTGTATATAGTTTCTACTCACAATCTGTTGATCAGTGCTTGGAAACTTAGCCACAGCCTATTGCAGAGGAGACCGGACAATATGGTCTACCAGTTGACTGAGGAGGAAGAAGGAAGGAGAAGCAGGTTTGGTAAAGCACTGCCTCATCACTGCTACACTTGGGCAGTCTGCTCTTCTTCTAGGAGGCTCATGTGTTTATTCAACAGCTATTTACTAAGAGCAAATTCCAATACTGAGGGAAGCCAAGCAATGCCCCAAGCAGACCTGCATGTCCTTAAGGAGCTAAAGGGGAAGAAGCGTTCAGAAGTCAGCAAGTAAGCAAATAATTAGGGTGATTGAAATTATGATAATGATGCTGTCTAAGAACTCTCAGAGGACTGTGTGGCTCATGCACAGTGACCAGGGGCCAGAGCGATGGATGTGATGGAGGCCTGGAGAGGAAGAAGAGGCAGGCCAAGGTCAGGCTTGGGAGTTTGGACTTTATTCTTTTGAGTTCTTGGTAGTTTCCAATCCTCTATCTGAGGATAATGAAGATATAGGATTTACTACATATTTTGGATTTTTCCTCCACATACAGATGAGTGTCAAAATTTTATAGATCTTATATAGCAACCATGGGAAAGGCAAAATGCTGTCTAAGGCAAAGAAAGTACAGGTTATTGCTGGTGGCTCTGATTCCTAGGTAAAGATGCATGTTGTAACCTTGCTCAATGCAGGACAGGAAGAGAAAATTCTGCCCAATCCTATAGCATGACTCCAGAAGTCTCATGCCCACAAAGGATCCAGAATCCCTCCCCAGGTTTAGTCAAAGCCACCCTTACATGTATACCTTCTGTGGCATTTTAGAACGACCTGAGAATGTGGCATGCTACCAGGGAGTTCAGAATCAGACCAACCAGGATTGAAAGAAATCCTAAACGTCACCCATCCTACCCTGTGTCCACCATCTGAAGCTGGAATTATCTCTGTTTCTTAATCCAAAGTAATCATCGAGCCAAAACTGGAATTCTTCCAAGAAAGAGATATCTATGCCCCTTGAAGCCCCTCCCCAACCTCCCAATTCCACCTTCAGCCAGTGAGGTTAGAACATCCTGTTGCTCTTTGAGTTGAAATATGCCTTTTTGTAACACCCTCTTTTTGGTGCTTTCTCTGCTTCAGAACCTAAGCATCTTTGTTGTCTTTCTTAGCATATGTACAATTGTTGTCAGTATCTAGAGTGTCCATATAATTCACTGGCCAAATCATGACTTTGGGGAGTAGAAGGGGGTGACAACTGGCATTTGGTGCAGCCCTGGGCAGCAGGCAAAGCCTGAGACAGCCACCCCACTGACACCCCTCTGAAGATCTGGCAGCCTGGTGACTCAGAATCAGGGTTAGTGAAGCCTTCACCTGGCACCAGCTCACCTCTGACAACTTGAGGGTGCAGGAAGCACCTGGGAGAATTATGGGAGTCCATGGGGCTTGACTACCTGTGGTCCCCTGCTAACCAGTTCTTCTTCCTCATCTAGGGACTTTGTGAAGGCCTTTATCCAGTTTAAGAAACCCATTGTGGTGGCCATCAATGGGCCGGCTCTGGGCCTGGGTGCCTCCATCCTACCCCTCTGTGACATCGTGTGGGCCAGCGAGAAGGCCTGGTTTCAGACGCCCTACGCCACCATCCGCCTCACACCTGCTGGCTGCTCATCCTACACCTTCCCCCAGATCCTGGGTGTGGCTCTGGTAAGTTCTTTCCACCTCTCTATGATACATGGATTCAGGTGCCAGAGGGCATGCCTTGCTCCCAGGTTTAGGTTGTGGGTCTTCGATGGATAGAAGACTAGCTATCGGCAGAAATTGTCCCAGAATGTTCAGTGTCCCCGTCAGATGGGACTGAGATTGAGGGTTTCAGAGCCAGATGGAGAAGTCTAGCCCAGGAGTATGGTGGTGATATTGTCTGTCGGACATGTACTCCATGCCAGGCACATAACTGAGCACTTGGCATTCGTTCAGCCATGTATTCCTTGTGACAACCCAGTGAGGCCAGGTATTGGGGTGGGTTGTGTGTTGAGGTATTGGGGTGGGTTGTATGCTGTAACAAAAAGCCTACAATCTTAGTGGGCCAAACAACACAAATCTTTGTCACTCTTTGCTGCAGTCCATCGTAGGTGTAGGAGCTGTCTACACTGACCAGGGACCCAATAGCTTCTTATAAGTCGTCCTCACTTCTAGCCTGTGAGTGAGAAGAGGGCCTGAGGGGTCAACCGGGGCTGAGTTAGCCGGACTGTGAATGTTGCTGTGGTGGTTCTGTCCTCCTTTCATGAGGGCAGGTTTGAGCCAGGATCTCAGGGGGTCTCAGGGAGTCCCTCCTGCCTTCCCCACATCCTGCCACAGCCAGCCAGCTCCCTCTCTCCTGTTAAGTACTTGTTGTGAATCCCCTTAGTGCAGGGCACTGCATGACCCACCAGGGCTCAGGGGTGGACAGGAAAGACAATTCTGCTCTCCATGTCTTCTTCTCCCCAACTCCACAGCAGTTCAATGGCCCCACCTTGTACAGAGCAGGTATGGTATTTGGACATGGATGCAGCATTGGAAGCAGAGGAAACACAGGTAGAAGACTTGAGTGGGGAGACAGCCGGGCAGGCCTTGGAATGAAAGGCAGGGGTGTGGCGGATACCTGGGGAGGAGAGTAGGGAGAGAGCCTGGGATGCCTGCCGAGCCGTTGAGGCTGATCATGAGCATGGTACACCAGGGAACAGGCTGGACTTCAGCAAGGTCTGCAGGAGCAGATGCTACAGGTCACAGTAAGTCCCACAAAATCACCAAAGAAGAACTTGGGTGACAGGGCCAAACCCCACAGCCTTAGAGCAGAGAGCAGAGCACCTGCCCGTCCGGAGCCCACAGGGCCACACTCCCATTCTGTGGTTGCCCCATGCCATCGTGAATGGTGCTGCCTTGGGAATAGACTCCATTTGTTTCTTTTTACTTCTTGATTGTAGTAGAGGGTACACACCTTGCCTTTCACACCACTCTTTTTTTTTTAATTTTATTATTTCTTGTATGAGAGAGAAACAGAGATAAAGACATACAGAGAGAAACAGAGAGGGAGTGAGACCCACGACCCGCCCCCACCCCAGCCTCACCCAGCAGGGATCGCGGGCATGCATGTGCACCCAGCATACATGGGGGTCTTGACATGTGAACCCAGCCTTTTCCTGTGGGCACTGCATTGCCCAACATTACGTCACTGCTGTGTCCAGCTGGCCCCCGCTCAGGCTTGTCCTCCGCAGCCCACGCACACTGTAGTGCCGTGACCATCTGCATCAAGCTCACGTGGCTCTTGGCTTCCTCTGGGGCGGGCAGAGGGATTTACACTTTCTGGTTTCCTCCCTTCTTTCCTTTCTGGTTCACGTCGTTTACCTCGCGGAGTCCTGCAAGCCCCCTCTTCTCCTCTTCCGTGTCCTGCTTGCATCACTGCAGAGAGCTCCAGAAGCAATCGCTCCTCTCCTTCCTCAGTGTCCTCCTTGCACCTTTTTGAAAACGACACCCTCAATGATAATAAAAGCAGCGAACGTCCATCACCCCCTCATCACATGCCTGGCCCTGCTGCAGTCTTTTCATGTCACCTCTGTGCTCAGGCCCATGGGATGGTGGAGACTGGGGAGAGGGGTGCTTTGTGAGGCCAGGTGACGTCCCAGGGTCATACATCTGTGACTGCACTCTGTTGGTATTCATTTTTAGCTCTCGAGGGTGTTACTTGTTGATTCCGTTGGTCCTTACCAGTGACATCCTGCTCTCTCACTCACCCAGGAATCCTCTTTGTTACTGAGGTCAGAGGTAACATTTAGTACCCATTTCAGAGACGAACAAACTGAGGCCCCAGAATGAAAGAGATCTGCCCAGTGTCCTAGTCCCTTATTGTGTGGCTCATAGAAATACCTAGACTGGGTGGATATAAGAGAACAGAGGTTTGTCTGACTCTTGATTCTGGCTTCTTGGAGGTCCCAAAGGCATCACAAAGTGACAGAGGGCAGGATCTTGAGTGGAGCAGATTTTAGTCACTTGAAGGTTTCTGCCTGCTCTGGTCTCCTTTCTCCTCTTATAAACACACGGGACCCAGACCTGGGGGACCTGCCCTGAGACCCAGAGGCCCATCCTGGGACACGATATAGGGACTGTTTTTCAACAATCAGTGCTTTTACAGTCAGTTCCAACACGTGAGTTCGGGGATCATCTGAACTGTAGCGCGCAGGCGTGCAGGGCCAGGCAGACGGCAGAGCTGGGCTTCACTGCCAGCTCCAAGTGTCTTCGCCCTCCCACTGGGGAGGTGGAGTGCTGTGCTCGTGGCCCCAGAGTGGTGCTGGCAGAAGGTTTTGGTGGCCATATAGATGGGGAGCGTAGGGAACACCAAAGAGGGAAAGCCTGCCCTGCATGGGGTAGGGAGGTCTGATGAAGGAAGGCTCCCAGAGGGCACCTCTTGTGAATCTGGGAAGACCTTCTAGGTGGGTTCCTTGCTCTCTGAAGGCTGCATGAAGCAAGAAAAGCAGCTAGAGCCACCCACTGCGCCCTCCCGCAGCAGGGCTGCCTGGTGGCACACGAGGCCTTGCAGGGTCAGGAACTCTGGGCTGCCCTGGGCTGCACACAGCCTCAGGAGTGCCGTGCCAGCAGACTCAGGTAGGCACGCAGCCTAGGAAGCAAACACTTTCCCCTCTGATCTCGGCCACCACTTGTCTTGCTCCTCCTGTCCACTCCAGTTCCTCCCCCTCTTTTGTGGTCACAAAAATGTTAAAATTGTGCAATCTTATCTCTTTGTCTCTCTTTTATTTCACTCATTTCTGAAACTCCAAGAATGCTGCTGGTAGAGACGCATTCCTCTCGTGGACTGATCCCGTTGGCTCCTTCTACTGAGTCCCCCATGTTGTCCTACTTCCTGACACAGAGATGTTGCACAATCGTGGCATGCATTTGTCCACAAACCTCAGCTGACCATGTGCTGTTGTCTGATTACCGACCTAGTACTTTGCACTGCTCTGGCGCTGTGTCTTCATGGCCCGTTCATGACAGCCAGAATAAGGGCGACTTCCACATAAAGAGTGTGGCATTTCAACACCAACCCAAGAGTAGCCAGCATGTAGGAGCAGGGTGAGCAGAGCAGGGGAGCAAGTGGCAGGCAGGAACGGCATTGTCTGCCTGGTGAGGGGAACAAGGACCCTATCCCACAGAAGGAGAGGTGCCCTGGGCATTGGTAAGAGTCACTGTACATCTCAACTGGTCACTCCCACCTGCTCCGTCTCCTTCTCCGCCTAGGCCCGTATCTTTGTAGCTTCTCCCAGGCCATGTATGGCAGCTGTGAGTTCTGAAGCAAATGGAAATGTCCTGGGGAGCAAAGTGCAGAGGCAGACCAGGTCACTAGAGCCGGGGGAAGGCTGCTTCCTGTCCCTCACGACCAGGGGGTGCTGTGCCCAGGCCTGGCCTGCCAGAGAGATGTGCTCCCTGCCCCGCCATGGTGTTATGGTGTTGATCCCAGCCTTTGGGTTGCCTGTGATGGAAACACTTTAACAGCTTAGTTTAAGAGAAGATGTAGAGGGGCCAGTAGGTAGCATGGTGGTTAAGGCACTGGACTCCCACGTGGCTGAATGCAGTCTGAGTTCCAGACCTGGTGGCTTGCTTTCTCGCTTTCTCTTTCTCTCTCTGCCTCTCTCTGGTAAGTGCATGTGTCCTATAGCAAATTAAAATAATAACAATAGTTAATTAAGTAATAATTTTTGCTATAGGTGGCATGTGTTTGCCAGAAAGACAGACAGAGACAGAGACAGAAAGTGAGAAATCACCCCCCAGTGGGGATGGCCACGCTGCAATCCCTTCTTCTCCATTCTCCTCTTGGGATCTTGAAAACACACACACATGTGCATGGCATGAGTTCAAGCCACCAGGTCTGGGACTCAAACCACAGTCGACTACATGGGAGTCCAGCAACATAGCCATTATGCCAACTGCTGGTCCCTAATTAAGTAATAATTTTAAAAATAAAAGTAAAAAGGAATTTTATGGCTCTCTTAATTGGAAAATGTAGAGTTGGAGCTTCTTTTGGGGAGAGGGTGCTCAGGGATTCAAGCCCCATCAGTTCTCTCCCCACCCCCAGTACTGCTCCTTTCCTCATGGACCTGCCTCTCCACAGAGCAGGGACATGACTGTGGTACCCCTGTGCTCCCTGACGTTAGCCTGCAACCAGAAGGGGAGAGTCCTCTCATCGTCTGTAGCTGGGTACCTCACAGAAAAGCTTTACTGCCTGAGGTGCTCTCCTCCTCCTCCCTGGACCCACACTTTGACCCGGGATGGGCACCGAGGTGTTCCCAGCCCATGGCGGGTGCACTCCCTGCAACTCTGCCACCAGAAGTGGGTAGGGGCCCTGGGAGACAAACTCACGGGAAACACATGGCTCCTTTTCAGAGCTGAATGAAAGCAGTGGACCCTCTACTCAGAAAAATGCACATAGACACAAACATTTGTGTGCCGTTCCCACAGCTTACCCGTCCTGGGCCAAGAACCTTGCCTTGGTGAGCAGGGGCAGGTGTGCATGGCGAGCCTGGGACTCGCCGATGGACCTGGCCAGAACGCAGGGCCTCAGCCTTGCCTGCCTTTGCTTTTCTAGGCCAATGAGATGCTGTTCTGCGGACGGAAGCTCACTGCCCAGGAAGCATGCAGCCGAGGGCTGGTGTCCCAGGTCTTCTGGCCCACCACATTCAGCCAGGAGGTCATGCTGCGGGTCAAGGAGATGGCGTCCTGCAGTGCCGTGGTGAGTTCCTGTGTCTCCCATGCGTGCTTGTCTACAGTCGACCCTTTTTACAGATGGTGACAGTGAGACTCAGAGGGACTACTGACGTGCCAAGGGACATAGCAGAATGCCCTCTGCCACTTAACAAACGCTTTTTTTCAGTACTGAGTGCTTGAATTGAGGGGAGGTAGCCAGCGTTATGATGTATGCTCCATCATCTCTGGTAGGAAGAGCTTCCTAGGAGGGGTCTGTATTTGGGTAGTGCACTGCCTTAATCGAAAGTCCTTATTTATTTAATTTAATTTGTTTTAGAGATTTTTGCTACAGGGCTCATGTGCTCACCAGAGAGACAGACAGAGACAGAAAGGGAGAAATCACCCCCGCCACCCCAGGACGGTTCGCCACACCACAGTCCCTTCTCCTTCATTCTCCTCTTGGGATCTTGGGCATGCACACACACAACCAGCATGAGTTTTAAGCCACCAGGTCTGAGACTCGAACCACAATTGACTATGTGGGAGTACAGTGACGTAACCATTACGCCATCTGTTGGTCCCTAAAAGAAAGTCCTACATGAAAGCACAAAATTCCAAGCAAAGGCAAATAAGGACAGGGGATCAAATCAACCCAGAGGAACAGAGAAAGCTGTACACACATCTCTGTATTCCTTTTCTTCTACCCACTGAAGGCTTGGCACATTTAAACTTTACCGTTTGACTCTAAAGATTCATCGACAGATAGATAAATAAATGACACCTCTGCAGAGGCACCAGGTTTTGGTTTTTGTTTTTACTTAAAAAAAATTCTTTTATTGGGTACATTTGAGGTTTACAAAATGTTGAAATAGAGATAAATATAGCTACATACAGATTAACATAAGGTTTTTTCATTTGTGTGGTAAAAGAAGCTAAAATCTTTTCCACAAAAACTTACCTATTTCCTAATCTATTTTTTCAATTTTGTATCAATTAAATGTTTTTTCCCTGTTCCTCTCCCTCCCTCCTATTACCCACCCCCTATGACCCCTCACTCTGTACTGGCTCTAGTATCTGCAGTTGCCTTCCCTGCTCTGATACCTTCCAATCTTTCCATTTCTGTCCTTTCAAAAGTAAAAATTAAGTTTTTTGTTTCAATAGATCTTTTTGGGTCAGCCCCTGGCCTAGTGGTTAAGGCAGCTGGCTCCCACACAGCTGACCCAGCAGCTTGAAAACCATGTCCAGAGAGAGAAACGGAGAGAAGACTGCAGTGGCATGACCATGCCCCATGGGGGATGCTTTCGATTTTCTCCCACCTATCACATGCACATGCCACTTGGCAAAATCTTAAAAGGAAAAGAAACCCAAAGTACTGATAGATCTTTCGTATGTGTTCATTTACTTCTGCTGCCATCCTTCACTTTTCCTTTCCCTCCAAGTTTGCTGTGTGCTTCCTCTGCTAGCTCCTTGAGGTGCATTGTTAGGTTATTTGAAACCTTTCTACTTCTTAGATGAAGGTGTTTATTGCTATACACTTCCTTCTTAGCACGGTGTTTGCTATACCCCATAAGTTTCCCTGTGTTGTGTTCTCATTGTCATGTGTTTTAAGAAATATTTAAATTTCCTACTTAAGCCCTGGCCCGGTGGTCCAGGGGCATGATATTTAATCCCATATATCTTAAATTAAGTGTTGATTTTATCTAACAGTCACTCTGTGATCAATGGGGAAATGCCCTGTGGCGAGGTGAGGGAAGTCTGTCCCTGGAGTCATGGGGCCAGCTCTGGAGCCCACAGAGGCACTTCAGGAAAGTCAGGTCCCTGAAACTCACTCTGTGCTTCAGAAATGGAGCTGCTGGCTGAATTTATAGTGCCAAACACTTAACTCTCTTTCTCTCTCTCTACCTGTGCCCTCCTGCCCAGCTGGCTGCGATTCTTCTGATGGGCCTCATTAGCCACTAACTGGGTACCTACTGTGTGACAGCCATGCTCCCTGAGAGTTTAGCAACAGTCTTGATAATGAAGGCCAGTGGCATTCTGTCTCCACATCACCGACCACTCTGATGGGCCACGTGCTCTGCTGATCTCTCTGTGGATTCTCTTATGATCTTTCTTTTTTATTTTTTTAAAGAATTATTTTATTTAACTTTATGTATGTATGTATGTACGTTAATTTGACTAGAAAGAGAGAGAGAAAGTGAGAAAGCAGACCGCCAGGTTTGAGACTTGAACCACAGTCAGTCATGTGGGAGTCCAGCATCCTTAACCACCATGCCACCTGCTGGTCCCTCTCTTACAATCTTTCTAAGGAAAAGGGCCAATCTGGCCCACTTTGGCAGGACTTGCCCAATTATAGCACTGAAAACCCTGTGTCCCAGGAACTCTGTGTTCAATCGGGAAAATGGGGGTGGTTGGTCATTCCGAGTTCAGCTTCACAGAGGCAGACAGAAGTTCTATGCAGAGGAAATAGTGTGAGCGAAGGCGCGAGAGTCAGGAAATCCACAGGGAGTTAGGTAGTAGCTCACAGTCAGTTTGTGTGGAGAACATGCTGGACACTTTCAGCCATGGCTTTGCTAGAGGGAGGATTTAGGGGGCCGGCAGGATCAGGTAGATCTGAGTTTTCTTGCTAAATCCACCATCCAGTGATCAGGCAGATCTGGGCCATGTTTCCTCATTGACTTGTAGCTTCTTTATTTATAATGTAGGATTAAAAATACTACCCATTTGCAGCATTATCATGAAGAATAAGTGAAAAAGTTCAAAGAGTACTTCTTATAAGCCTGTTGGTTAGTGGTGAATGCAGAGGCATTGTTATTACTATTGATACAATTGTTATTACTATTATTACCATGATTTTTATGAATATTATTACTGTGATTACTACGATTATTACTCATTACCGCGGCGATTATTATCGTTATTGTTCATTCCTGTGATCATTACCATGATTACTACAGTGGTTATTATTCTTTACTACAATTATTATTACTGCGATCACTGCAATTCCTATTGCTCTTTACTATTACGATGACGATGATGATTACTACAATGGTTAGTGCTCATTACAACACTGATTACTACCATTTTTTTCTACCATTCTTACCACTAAGCCTGAACACAGGGCATTCTACTGGTCAAATGATTGGGACACTTGGACAACCATTAGTTCATTCCCTTGTCTCCTTCTGTGCTTCCATGATCTTGGAGTTAGGAGTCTATATTCCTGACAGATCCTGAAAATGAGGCATTGAGAGGTTAAAGCAGTGTGTCTAAACTGTTCTCTGACACCTATAGAAAATGATGTTGTTTATGTGACCCTTGGTGCTGTGGTTCGAATATGACCCCTCCTCCCCCAATTTGTGCACCGAAGAGCTTGGTCCTTAATGTAATGGTGTTGGGAAGTGGGGAGAGCTTTAAGAGCTGAGATGTAGCAGGTGGTGTTTGGATCATGGAGGCAGCATCCCCGTAAATACATTAACATTGTCTTGGGAAAGCGGGAGAGTTCTCACTCTCATCAGAAGGGGTTACTTCCTGCCAGAGCAGTTGTTACAAAAGTAAGACCCGCCCTCAGGTCTTTCTCTCTTTGCATGTGCCCGATGACCTCGCTTCTATCAGCCATGTTGTGATGTAGCACCAAAGGCCAGCCCGAGGCTGGCTGCATGTTTTTGGACTTCCAGCCACCAGAATCATGAGCCATTTAGAACCTCTGTTCTTTATAAATCACTCAGCCACAGATATTTCTGTTTGGCAACACGATAATGGTCTAAATAGGTGAAAGACAAGGCTCTTGTAATCTGGGGTAACATGGGCCCCACCAGCCATTCAAGGGACTGAGGGTTGGACATCTCAATGCCTCTGGAACCCATTCATGGCAGTGTTAGAGACGTGGAATCAGGAAAGTCCAGGCTAAAGAAGGCAGCCTCCCCAGGCCTTGGACACTGGAAGGTTGACAGTACCTCACAGGCCTCGTGTATATTCTGGAACAAAGTTCCTGGTACACAGCTAACCAGGCTTGTACATTTCCCTTCAGGTGTTGGAGGAGTCCAAATGCCTTGTTCGGAGCTTCCTGAAATCAGTGCTGGAAGATGTCAACGAGAAAGAATGCCTCATGCTCAAGCAACTCTGGAGTTCCTCCAAGGGCCTGGATTCCCTGTTCAGCTACCTGCAGGACAAAATTTACGAAGTCTGAAGAGCCCTTACTCACTTGGCCCAGTGCTCAAGGGCACCTGACTTTCATCTCTGCCTTCTGTTTTGAAAAACGGAGCCCAGTGTCTGCCCCGGCCAAGGAGTTTGTCAAGGTGTTTCTTTATACCTAGGGTTGTGTCCATTTCTTCGTATCCTTTGGTTGCTCCTCATTGGTTTGATTTTGTGTAACAGTTGGGAAACACAGCAGACCTGGCCTCTCCCACAAACCCACCCTAGCTGGCCAGAAAGCTCTCGAGGGCTCTCTCTTCCCAGAGCTCTGCCAGGTACCACTTCCTCTCCCCACTTGCTGAAATGCACCATCGTGGTCCAGGAAGGGGAAGACTGCTTTCCCCCAATCCTTCTGACTCAGGCTGTGTCTACACAGTGCCTCTGATTTGGAGACTTGGCCGTCATGGGTCTCTCTGGTTAAGTGTCCATTGGGTGCCAGGGGATGTTCAATCTTAGGGAATTTCTAGACTGATGAGCAAAATGATTGTGTAGACCTGGCTTCAGTCTCCTCTCTGATGCAGATCTGTGTGACTATTAGGGCTTGGTCTTAAAACCCAATTGAGTGATTTACAAACCCAGATATTGTACATTTAGAAATGTTTTGTTAAATATATATTTTTAAAACAATGTAAGTGGAAATTCTGATAATTTATGTGTATTATATGTAAAGCTAGTTTTGCAAAAACATGAACTACTAGGAAAATGTTTTTTCTTTAATCGGACTTATTTTATTTATTTATTTTTGTTTATATATATTCTGATGTCTGTTGTTCACACAGATACTATTTTCATACTGCCCTGGACCAAATCCCATACAGGGTACCTATTGTTGGGTGCATTCTAGCAATGAACCACATAGAAATACAATTCAGAGAGATGAATAGGAAGGATATCTGTGGCTAAAAGAAACAGCTCTGCACCAGACTCTCTGTATAAAATGATTCTCAGTTGTAATAATACAATATTAGATCTTTAGGTTTGTCCTTGGGATAAATCACTGGAGAGTTTTCTTTTCACTCTGTGATCTTAGAGGAGGCTATCTCAGCCTGAATACCCCTAAAACCGATCCAGTCCCTAGTTGTGTGGTATCAGGAATTGGTGGGGCAGAGTCCCTCCTTGGGGGTTGTGTGTTGTTTAGAGTGAGACTTTTTTCCTTTGGGCAAATGACTGAACTTGATTTCAGAGACCATTTCTTCCACATGGGCAGTGGTGTCTGGTCTGGTCCTTCCAGGAAGGGGAGGCAGAGTGCCCACTCAACTGAGCCATCTGTACAAAGTTTGAATCTTTTTGTCCCAGAATCTTGGACTTTCTAGTTGTTTGTCCACATGAGGGAGGGATAACCAGGCATGAGGTTCTCCTTGCCCCATGCCCCTGGGCAGCAGCTGTATTCAACCGTCAGACTAAAGTCCCTGGATCAACAGCTGAGAGGGAGGGGCATGGGGTTTGGTTTTGACATCACGGTTAGAGCAGAGAAATGGAAGGAATATATTTTGCATGAGGCATAAATCTGTTGTTGGTTAAGCACCCAGAGAAAGTTAGATTTTTCAGGGTCACGAGATTTTTAACATTTCCAGCACAACCTCTGAGTACTCCTGGCAGCCCTTTGCATGTCCCTTCTCTTTTCATGTCAGTTGCCATTCCCTCTTGAGGGTTTCTTGGAGAGAGTAGAATAAGGTGGTGAAGTTGGGCACAGCTGGCAGAGGTGTGGTGGACTGATAAGAGCAGAGCCTGGATATGGTTCTCTCTCTCTCTCTCTCATACTCGTCCTTCATCTTTTCCTACAGGTGATGAGATTCCATGGAAAGAACAGGTGGAGGGATTTATGGCCCTGCTCTTTCATTTCATAGAGCAGATTGAATGTCTACACTAGAACTAGAGACATGATCCTTTAAATAGTGAACCTTGAGTTTATTTGGACTCTTGGCTCTTAGAGTGGCCTTGGTTCCCTCTATAGAAAGCTTCTCTCCTTGAGAGTTTATGAGGGTCAGGGAGGACAGGAAACTTTACTTCCCCTCCAGCCTGTGCCATCGTGGCCATGTGGATACAGAAGGGGGCAGCCATCTTGGCTGGAGCCAGCTAGAGAAGATATAATTGAAGTTCTGTGTACCCTTTCCTTCGTCTACACACTAGGACTGACTATCTCTCTCTAACCCAATTCCTGATGATGGTTAGCTTCCAGTGTCTTGTATTGGATCCATTGGAGTTAATAGTCCTGTTCTAGGAGGGCTTTTGCAGAACCTTTAAGGTATTCAGACCTTAGAAACTACAGCCTGTAGTTGACATACTTCCCAGCTTAGAAATAATGTCTGTGGGTAAAATAATGTCTGTGAGTTTGATGGGTAAAAAACCATCAAACTTAATTGCTAAGAATGAAATTGGATAACTATGAGAAGGTAGTAGAGAATTAATTTAAAATATTACTCTCTTTTGGTATAGATTAACCTAGGGAATGTTCTCTCTGAAGCATGAAAATCTGTTTTTCCCATATGAAGTTTAGTATGAAGATGGAAAATAATAATCACAATAGACTTTGAACAATGCAACTCTATCTCAGAATATCCACATTTTAAAATAGCCTTGACTGAATGTTGAATTGCATTTCCCATTATTAATTGTTGGTTTTAAAAATTTTTGTAAACTTTTTTTAATTTGGAGTTTAGTCATGCAGTTTTCCAATCTAGTTTCTGTGGAAAATTTTTTAACAAAGAGAAACAAATAGGAACAACTTCAAATCTTCCTAAGTGAATATTTAAAATACAGAATTGCTTCTCTTCTTTGTTTCTGTATTCAGATACTTAGATCTGTTGTATATATTAGTCTAGACACTCGCTAATATACACAGTATTTAAGACTCTAAATGAGATTTCTTAAGTATTTTATTTTATTCTCTGTAAATGGTTTTGTATAATCTTTAAAAATCTACACTTTGCCTTTGTAGATATTTAAGGGAAACCATTTGGGGGTTGTCTTGCATGTATATTTTTGTTGTAGATAAGTGTTACTTAGTTATTTCTGCAAATTTTGGTTGAAATGCTTACAGACTTTAATATAGTATATATTTTCAGAATATAAACTTTTATATTTCTGTGGTAAGTTAGGATATGCGTTTTAGGCAATCTTTTCCATTAATATCACCTGTTCTTTCAAAAAAAAAAAAAAACAGCATACTGGTTTGGTGCCAATTTATTTTTGTTTTTTGATTTTTTCCCCCATTGGGATCTAATGCTCTTATATATAGAGAAGAGGTTAATTTTCTTTTTCTCAAAGTAATTGAGTTTGAAGTATAATTTGAAAATGTATTGATTTTGTGAATAAGCCTTACCATTAGGATCAGTAAATTTTCCAACATTTGCAACTACACATGTAGTTTAAGATCTCCCCATAAATTCTCACTGTGTGGCACTTGATGGAGTTTGTGAACAGAGCCTTAAGCTTGTTGCAAAAATAAAAATAAAAGGGTAATACGGGTTGTTTCCTGCATGCAATGTAAGCCATGTTGATGGACTTGATACAGTTTATAATTCATGGCTAAACTGAAGAGTTTGGTTGAGTTGATGGCGGCAGGGACCAGATAGACACCTTGGTGATTGTCTTTGGCCATAAGGATGGACCAAGGACAGATTTTTCAGAGCCACCTTCGTACCATTTACATGGTTTAGACACGGTCATAGGGAGGGCTGCTGGTCTATCATTTGTTTTGAACAAATGACATTTCCTGCCTCTGACCCTAGTGGTTGATGCCAGGTCTCTTGTTGATGACTTGGAAATGTCTAGTCTGGCTGAGGTCAGCACTTCTTGAGAGATGTTAACAAAGTTTACATATGAGTCTTACTGTGTAGACAATCTGAAGTCGATTTCAGTTACATAATCAGCATTCCCATATGTCCTCAGTGTCTTATCAATGAATTGTGTGTGTCAAGCCATACTAACCTAGAGTTTAGCAGGGCAAATGCAAACTAGATGTAAAGCATACACATCAGCTAAAGCCAAGTCTATCCAGGGCTGTTTTAATGGAGTGTAATTCATGAGCTCATTGGCATTAGATCCATGGTGTCTGGGTTCTAATAAAACCAACTACAGTTTGGACTCAAGTTTTTTTGATTATGGTTCCTTTTGGTCAGCCACATTTCAGTAGTCCAGGGCTATAAAATGGCTAAGCCAGGTTATTTGGTTCATCTCTAATAAGTGCTCATAAAGTCAACTTACTCCATTGGAATGGAGATTTGCTTCATAGGTTTGCAGTGTGTGTGTGGCAGTTGGAAAAACTGATATATGATTTTAAGCCTCAGCTCTGGTGTCTCTATGGGTTGACCTTACCTCATTGGCCCAACATCTGGCCTGATGCTGGAGCTCATTAAGTTGACTCTTGGAAGTTTGAAGGGTGTAGAGTTTTCCATCTAGTATTTAATTTGTCCCTGTGCCATTAGTCTCAGCTTGAAGTCATTTGCCAATGTCTGTGTTGACAGGATTGTGAAAATATTGCCTTTCATTAAAGCCAAGGACCAAAGAATTCCATTATTCCAACAGAGCATGAGTTTCTTAGGTTGAGGGCACATCTAGGCAGAGAAGCACGTGCTTTATGGCATAGAGAAACTGCTCCCTTCCACTGACCTCAGACCCCACCAGCTGACCACCTAGAAGAATTTGTTATCACCTTGAGAAGGCTCTGAAAGGTGTTTCTAAGGTTGAAACTCAGTATCTCAGGTGGGTGTTTCAGCTGTGTATTCCTAACCCTTTATCCATATCATAAGAAGTGGAGGTCTAGCATTTCTACAGGTTGTCTGACCAGTGTAGATGAATCCTCCATCTGAATATGCACCTCTAGTGTGAGTTTTGCAGATGTGTCTACACTGAGCAGTGGGATCCTGCAATTGCCAAATTTCCACCTCCTTTTGTTATGCATCGACTCATTCCAAATCCTGTTTGGCATGAGAAGATTTTCAATTCTCACACCTGGTGATGCTCAATTCTCATTCATGCTGAAGTCATTGATCCATTAGCCAGTTGAGAAGTGATTGATGCTGAAGAAGTGATCTTCTATTGGTAAGGCTTATTACCAAACTTCTGATGATGAAGCAGGCTACCAAAAACTTATCCAGACCACCCTCAGAGTGTTGGGATTTGATCATGGATGTAGCACACACACCAAAATTCACGGAGACCTTTGCAAAATTAGGCTACTCATTTTATTTTGCCAGATTATCATGGAGAGTCTTTAACTAGTTCTGAATATTTGTAAGTATGAGTACTTCATAGAATTATAAAGCAGGTACAGCTGACCCTTTCTCACCACATTGTAAATATTTCCTGAGACTGGGTGCAGACTGAGGGGTAATAATCTTCTGATTTATCAAAAGCTGACTGTCTAGGCAAATTGTACACTCTCTTTGTGAATGGTCCTGTAACGTGTATGAACACATTTCTGGGTGCCTTAGAAGTTGTATTTTTCATGTGTGCTAATATGCAGTATTTATACATTGTGAGAAGCTGCTTTGAATAAAAAGGTTGAAACTTCGTCTCCATTTGCTTGTGTTCCCCTTTTATAGCCTGTGTATAGAGTTCACGGACAGGTTCTGTGGTTTCTAAACACACAAGTTTCTGGGGCCTCCTGAGGTTGAAACATCTGATACTTCTAGGTCATGTCTGGGTTCCTGGGAGCACAGGCACTAGGCATCTCCACCCCAAGCCTGGCTTGAGCTTCAGTTATTCAGGAAGGCAGTCACTGAGAGCAATAGCTTGAAGCCAGGTAACCTCAGAACTAGGGGCTACAGGGTTGATTTGTCAGGGGATTGACGTCAGTGTCTGCCTTTTTCTTGATTCTTCAAAATGTTTCCTTTTATCAGGGATTCCCTCCTCAGTAGACACAAGTGTTCTGGGAGGTTGGTCCTGTACAAATTTAACTGTCATTAACAGCCAACAGTGATATTTGTCACTGCAGATGTATGCGAAGTGCTTTTACATACTTACATACTTGATTTCATTGCTTTGGTCATCATAACATGGCTTTTAGGAGACACATACAAATTAGGTCCCCTGACTTCCAGGACTCAGCCTCAGAGACATTATAGGGGCTGTAGGAAAGAGGAAGAGGGAATTTTTCAGGGGTTTGTGGTAATAGTGAATTCTGAGAAAGTTCATGTATTCTTTTTTTTTTTCCTCTATTTCTCACCCTCTGCAAACTCTCCCCTTCTCCCACACTGTCTGGCATGTACAGTTATTTTCCATACTTTTTTTTTACCCCCACATTTTATCGATTCACTAAATATCTTAATTTAAAGACTTTCAATAACAAGTACATATTTATGAATGCATGTCTGGATTTAGGCATAAACCTCTGAATAAAGTGAACATACTATAAAATAGCACCTCTCCGGGGCTGTATAGCTTACTGCAGTCATTAAATAGGTATTAATAGGTATTTTTAAATGCATTTTTTAATTTCAAAAAAAGTTTTCATTTTAATAGATCAAAATAAAAAAATTGTTAAGAGAAATTTGCTTAAAACTTAAAGCCAGGAAAAAGATTGGGCCTCAGTTCAAATAGTAGGTAGATGAACCTCTATCAACAGTTCAAGAGAAGACAAAAATCCTTAAATATGGAAATCAAAGCATCGAAGAAAACCAGTAATGTTTTAGTCTAAAGAAAAAAAATATATGTCACTAGTTTAGAGTCAGGTAATTAATCTCTCTTTTATTGAATTTGCAGTATGACTGTGGTCTGATCTTTTCATTTAAACTCTGGAAGTTAACATTCACCTCCAGACTTGTCCCTACCATTAAGCTGGCCATTCTCATGCTTGTTTCTTGGACTCTTATTTTTGTGTTTCCTACTTGAATTTTCCTGGTATAGCACTCCCTTCAGCACTTCTTGGAGAGCTAGTCTGGTTTTGATAAATTCTTTCAAGTTTTGTTTATCCGAGAATGTTTTTTGTCTTTTTTTCCCCCATATGAAAGACAGTCTTGCTGGGTATAGTATTCTTGGTTGAAATTGTTTGCTTTAAAGGTATTTCCCCATTCTTTCCTTGCTTACATTGTTTCCGATGAGAGGTTCAATGTGATATCCTGTGAAAGTAATTTGACATTTCTCTCTTGCCAATTTTAGTATCTTGTCTCTGTTTGTGGTTTTGTTCAATCTGGGCATTACGTGCCGTAGAGAAGATCATCTTGGGTTGATTCTATGTGGGGTCCTTTGTATTTCTTGAGTCTGGATATTTGAATGCCTCTCTAGATTTGGAAAGTTTTCTTCTAGGATGTCATGGAACAGATTATCAATGCCTTTATTAGTTTCTTCACCTTCTGGGATACTGATGATCCGGATATTTAGGTGTTTAATGGTATCTAGTATTATTCGTATGTTATTTTCATTTTGGGGGAGTATTTTCTTAGTCTTTTTGGTCTATTTCTCTAGGTCACAAGTTCTGTCTTCTACATCTGAGATTCAATCTTCTGTGTGATCTAATCTGCTTTTGATACTTTCAACAGAAGTTTTGATTTCCTGTATTTCAGCCTTCATCTCTAGCAATTCAGTTTGATTCTTTTTTTTTTATAATGTGCATTTCCTCTTTCAGATTGTGCAAGAACTTCCTCACCTCCTGGAACTCGGTGTCTCTGTTCTCCTGCATCTTCTGGAATTTGTTCTCTATTCTCTTGCATCTCTGAGAATAACTTTGTCACTATGAATATTTTAAATTCTTTATCTGACATTTGCATGATTTCCCTTGTATTCTTTGTGGAAGTAGAGGAATTACTCTTTTCCATTAAATGAGAGATATTTTCTTGGTTTCTTGTATTTCTTGTACCTCTGTGGTGGTTTCTGGTCATCTAATAAATTATACATTTTTTTTTCTTATTTTTTGGAGTTGAATCTGAGCAATCAGAGGAATGCAGGAGGAGGTGACCCCTGCAGTCTATAAGCAATACCATTTTTCTCTCTTTGCACAGCTAATTCAATAAAAATTGAGGATTAAACTGACCCCAAAAGTATTCAGAAATTTAGCTACTGAGCACCTAGACCTGTCTAGAAAATCAGTGTGTGGAGGCTAGGCAGAAAAGAAAGGGGGGGGAAGAAAAGAAAAAAGAAAAAGAGAAGAAAAAATTTTTTTCTGTCTGTCCATCCAATTTGTCCATCTATCCAACAACTGTTATTGAGCCCCTGTCCTGTCTTATGAGCTACACAAGCATGGGGATATAGTGATTACTCAGGCAGGCCCAGTCATAAAGGGACTTGCAGTCTAGTAATGTGAGAAAAGGTGGAAAATTCTGCTATTATTCTCAAAATGTCCACAATTCAGTGCTGGAGAGAATGCTGTGTATAGTCACGAACACTCTCAGAGTCTAGAAAATGGTGCAGCTTTAGTTATTCATATTCTATGATGTCATCTTTCACTCTGCGGGTTGGCCATGCTTGGTTGGAGCCCAGGACTTTCCCTCTGCTGTTTTCTCTTTCCTTTACTCTTTCTGTTCTGTCATAATTGTCATTGTCCCTTTGTGTGTCTCTGCCCTTTTTCTAACAGATAGTCAAAGTCAAACTTGGCAAGTCCTTTCCTTCTTATGTTCCTTCCAGTCCACTGGGCAAGGCCTTTAAGATGTTTCAGAGTGTGTCATCTATCAGATAAACTCTTTATTATGATGATTTCTCTTAGGTTAACTTCTAACTTCGATGTGATGTGCTGAAAGAGCCTCTCCCTGAATGGGGGAGAGGATAGTAAAGACAAAGGGAGTGAAGTGGGCTTTGACCTCCATCCAGTCAGATGTATCAGCGATTAAATGATTAACCAATATATTGAAGAAGCCGTAATGGAGCCAGCATGTGGCATAATGGTTAAGGTACTGAATTCTCACTTGGCAGACCATGATTCAAGTCCTGGGCCCAGCAGCTTGAAACTCACCCCAGGTACGTTTGTGTGCATGCCCAAAATTCTGAGAAGAAAATGGAGAAGGGAATATGGTGTGGACATCTGCCTGGAGGGTGATTTCTCATTTTTTCTCTCTCTCTTTCTGTCTCTTCAGCAAGTGAGAGATATTTTCTTGGTTTCTTGTATTTCTTGTACCTCTGTGGTGGTTTCTGGTCATCTAATAAATTATACATTTTTTTTTCTTATTTTTTGGAGTTGAATCTGAGCAATCAGAGGAATGCAGGAGGAGGTGACCCCTGCAGTCTATAAGCAATACCATTTTTCTCTCTTTGCACAGCTAATTCAATAAAAATTGAGGATTAAACTGACCCCAAAAGTATTCAGAAATTTAGCTACTGAGCACCTAGACCTGTCTAGAAAATCAGTGTGTGGAGGCTAGGCAGAAAAGAAAGGGGGGGGAAGAAAAGAAAAAAGAAAAAGAGAAGAAAAAATTTTTTTCTGTCTGTCCATCCAATTTGTCCATCTATCCAACAACTGTTATTGAGCCCCTGTCCTGTCTTATGAGCTACACAAGCATGGGGATATAGTGATTACTCAGGCAGGCCCAGTCATAAAGGGACTTGCAGTCTAGTAATGTGAGAAAAGGTGGAAAATTCTGCTATTATTCTCAAAATGTCCACAATTCAGTGCTGGAGAGAATGCTGTGTATAGTCACGAACACTCTCAGAGTCTAGAAAATGGTGCAGCTTTAGTTATTCATATTCTATGATGTCATCTTTCACTCTGCGGGTTGGCCATGCTTGGTTGGAGCCCAGGACTTTCCCTCTGCTGTTTTCTCTTTCCTTTACTCTTTCTGTTCTGTCATAATTGTCATTGTCCCTTTGTGTGTCTCTGCCCTTTTTCTAACAGATAGTCAAAGTCAAACTTGGCAAGTCCTTTCCTTCTTATGTTCCTTCCAGTCCACTGGGCAAGGCCTTTAAGATGTTTCAGAGTGTGTCATCTATCAGATAAACTCTTTATTATGATGATTTCTCTTAGGTTAACTTCTAACTTCGATGTGATGTGCTGAAAGAGCCTCTCCCTGAATGGGGGAGAGGATAGTAAAGACAAAGGGAGTGAAGTGGGCTTTGACCTCCATCCAGTCAGATGTATCAGCGATTAAATGATTAACCAATATATTGAAGAAGCCGTAATGGAGCCAGCATGTGGCATAATGGTTAAGGTACTGAATTCTCACTTGGCAGACCATGATTCAAGTCCTGGGCCCAGCAGCTTGAAACTCACCCCAGGTACGTTTGTGTGCATGCCCAAAATTCTGAGAAGAAAATGGAGAAGGGAATATGGTGTGGACATCTGCCTGGAGGGTGATTTCTCATTTTTTCTCTCTCTCTTTCTGTCTCTTCAGCAAGTACACACACCCAATAGCAAAAATCTCTCTTAGAGAAAAAAAAAGAAATAAAAGAAAAAGCAACAATGAAGTGAAATCACTTTATCCCTAAACCTTGGATGAAGCCCTGTTCACTTCAGGCCTTTCTGTCATTCATAGGTAAAAGTTCCTAAAAGTCACACACACACAGTCTCAGTAATTAAAAATGACCATATTCTCTTTAAGAATCATTGCTCCAAACCTTATTAATGATTAAACTTCACTCATCCTCATTGATCCTC